GATACAGCTCTGGCCAAGGAAAATAGAAGGAGTCCATTTACAGAGATCTCACATAAGTTTTGAGACCAACAAGCTCAGAAGATCCATCTGTCTTTGATAGAAAACTATTGTCTTAAATCGGAGAAACCAATTAATATGACATTATCCAGAACAGGTCAAACACTTGCTCTCAGATGTAATTTAATTCAGGCTAATGAGAACCAGTAAGGTTAAATTGATTTTGTCATGCTCAGCACAGAAAAGGGGTTTGTTTCAGTTAATTGTATTTTATGCTATTTAAATTTTGCTTCATTAATACAAGACTTCCCATATGAAGATTTGTAGTTCTGAATAACAAAGTAATAAAAATAATATGTCACTCTTATTGTTCCTGATTGCAACTTGTGCATACAATATGTGTAATAACGCAAACATACACGATTTAAAGGAACAATTTGACATCAAAACTTGGAAATGCTTTGATAAGTGGCTTTAAATAAATGGCCTTTTATGTAGATCAGTAGGAAAAAAAACCTAGTGTTTCTTTCTCTTACTTGCAACTTCCTCATTTTCTCACCTTCATTTTTTCCCCCTCTTCTGCTCTGCCATGTGACAAGAATAGCTCCCACCACACACACACACACACACACACACACACACACACACACACACACACACACACACACACACACACACACACACACACACACAAACACACATTTAGACAGGTTTTGATTTAGTAGTTGGAGCTATAGGTGTAGTTGAGGGCTCTTCTTTTTGCCATAGAACCCCAAATTGGTGGGTGAAACAACAAAGAGGTTGATACATATATAAGAGGTCTAAACAGAACCCTGGTCTATGATTATCCATCATAGACTTTCAAACAGAGTCTTGGAGGGTTAGTGATGGAGATATAAAGGCCAGATCATGGGGATGAAGCAGGGAGTATCTTTTTATATAGATGCCCCTTAACATTTTACCTCAACCATTAAGATAACTAATTTAATCTTCTTGACTTCACCAACACACACTTTAAATAACAACGGAATAGAAAAAAATATTTTTGGAACTTGCAGGGAATTTCAAAGTAGAAACGTATGAGAGAGTAAAAAAAATGTGTAGAATAATTTTGCTTTACCACACACACTAATTTGTCATTTTTATATAATACAGTGTTTGCTAAAAGATAAGAAACTGACAAACACATCAGCAAATAAGTTATGTTCATTCAGGCACAGAATTGTTGAGCCCTATATCATAAAAGGCAATTTACAAATGGTTTGTTAAAGAAAGTGTCCAAGATATAGTCTGAAAATATATGGTACATTCAGTTTTCTCGACATCTGAGTCAGCAAGAAGGTATTTTGCAAGGTGTGAGAAAATGCAAACATCAAGGGACTTTGCATCTCCATCTGTTGTGCATCTTCTATTGCTATAGAGGCTGATACTCTTGCTACCCAAAGATGATGTTGAAAGAGGCTGACAGATGACAAAATTGAGTTTATGTACATAATACTTATGTAATCTTTATATTTAAGGGTCGATAGAAAAAAGCAGTTTTAAATGAGATGACATAAATAGGGAAATCTGCCAACATGTTGAATGGTGGAAAACCTCCTGTGATTTAAATATATGACTACACAGGTTTTTTTTAATTTCCTCGAGATTAGCCAGAAAGACACCAATTCGCCATTTATAAATCACAAGCAAATTATGAGAAGAGATATCATTTTAGGTTAAAAAAAACCAAATCCACAATCCCAGAAAATTAGAATATTACATGCGATCAATAAAACAAGGATTGTACATAGAACAATATTGGACCTCTGAAAAGCATGCATATGTACTCAGTACTTGGTTTGGCCCCCTTTTGCAGCAATCACTGCTTCAATGCGGCGTGGCATGGAAGGTATCAGCCTGTGGCACTGCTGAGGTGTTATGGAAGACCAGGATGCTTCAATAGCGGCCTTCAGCTCTTCTACATTGTTTGGTATCATGTCTCTCATCTGCTCTTGGCAATGCCCATAGATTCTTTATGCTGCCCAATCAAGCACAGTAATCCCACTGTCATTGGGCAGGTTTTGGTGTTTTTGGCAGTGTGGGCAGGTGCCAAGTCCTGCTGGAAAATGAAGTCAGCATCCCCATAAAGCTCATCTGCGGAAGGAAGCATGAAGAGCTCCAAAATCTCCTAGTAGATGGCTGCATTGGCCATGGACTTAATGAAGAACAGTGGACCAATACCAGCAGATGGCATGGCTCCCCAAATCAACACAGACTGTGGAAACTTCAAACTCGACTTCAAGCATCTTGTAGTGTGTGCATCTCCATTCTTCCTCCATACTCTGGGTCCTTGGTTTCCAAATGAGATGAAAAAGTTGCTCTCATCAGAAAAAAGGACTTTGGACCACTGAGCAATAGATCAGGTCCGTTTTTCTTAGTCCAGGTAAAACACTACTGACGTTGTTTATTGTTCAGGAGCGGCTTGACAAGAGGAATACGACATTTGAAGCCCATGTCCAGAATCCGTCTGTGAGTGGTGGCTCTTGATGCACCAACTCCAGCCTCAGTTCACTCCTTGTGAAAGTGCCCAACACTTTTGAATGGCCCTTTCCTGACAATCCTCTCCAGGCTGCAGTCATCCCTGCTGCTTGTGCACCTTTTTCTTCCACACTTTACCCTTCCACATAACTTTATATTAATATGCTTTGATACAGCACTTTGGGAACATCCAACCTCTTTTGCAATTACCTTTTGAGGCTTTCCCTCCTTATGGAGGGTGTCAATGATGGTTTTCTGCACAACTGTCAAGTCAGCGATCTTTCCCATGATTGTGATTCCTACTGAACCAGACTGAAAGACCATTTAAAGGCTCAGGACCCCTTTGCAGGTGTTATGGCTACTTAGCTGATTAGAGTGAGACACTTTGAGCCTAGACTATTGCACCTTTTCACAATATTCTAATTTTCTGAGATTGTGGATTTGGAGTTTTCATTATGACAAATCATGGCTTGAACTATCTTGCTTTGCATGTAATGAGTCTAGCTCATATATTAGTGCAGTCTGACTGGTTTCAGTGGAAAATTTACATGTAAAAAGAATCAATACGGCCAGGATATTTTGGTATATGAGAGTAAACAAAAAAAGTTTTTGAATCTCAGTCAACACTGCAATATAATCAAATATGAACAGCAGATTCTAGGTTGTTTCCCTCCTTGATTAGTTTCCATTCATTGTTTCTTGTCTTGCTTTCTGGTGCTTGGGAAAATAGGTTAAACCCCCTCTTCTTTGGGGCAGCCCCTCAAAATCATGACAACAGTGTTCCAATATTTGAAAGGCTGCCACAAAGAAGAGTGGGTCAACCTATTTTCCAAAATTATCTTATAAAGGTAATTAGTTGCAAGCTGTCATTAAATCCAGGTATAGCAAAGTCCATCATATGGGCAAATTAAATCAAAATAATGCTGTGTAATTATATTTTAACATAAACTTAACATTTTAACCCTAAAATGTTTCATGATTAAAGTTGCAGAGAAATATGTACTTGTACTCTTTTATAATTCACACAATTAATTAAAATTAAATTAAAACTCATTTCCAAAACTTATTGGAAAAATAAGCTGTGTAAATTCAGAATATGTATTCACCTATCTATATTTAAGTGTATCATTAGCAGACCTTCAAAATCAGCAAAGCCAAGCTTTGCCAAAAATTTGTCAATGTGTTTGCCAGGCGATCAGACTGATTAACTTAAAATGCTGATATAGAGATGTTAAATATATCCCTTTCAACAATAGCCTTTCCTATCCTAATTTCCAATGACTCCTGATTGCTACCGTTCTTTAATTTTAAAAGCAAACTAAGGTTTTTTACTTTAAAAAAAAACTATACACGACCATTCAAGCCCTATGTTACTGATTAGTAAACAAAACAGTCTAGAACAAGGTCAATATATAATAATTCAAGTAAAAGTTTGGCACTTAACAAAAAAAAAATTGCAGTGCTTAAAATAAGGTCCTTACTTGTTAGCACCACAGTCTGAAACTATATGGTACATCCGTTCCTTGGTTTCAACAAGTTAGAACTATGTTAAGAAGGACCAAAAATCTTGACTGAAATTTATTAAACAGCAGTCCATCTTACAAAATTGATTCAAGATACTTTGCATGAAAATGGCAGTTGTTTCAACATTAGCAATAATTTGCACGAGTTAAGTATTAATACACTAGCATCAAAATTTGTTAGTGGATTCAGTGTTGCAATTCGAGCCTGCCCCCTTTGTATATGCACTGACACTGCACCTGCCATTTTGTAGCTACCTGCCCTTTGCCATAGGTACTTGTGCCCAAGGATATAGAATTCTATCCTGGTGCCTCATTCCTTTACTTTACCTCTCTTTATTACGGCACAATGTTTCTATCTACACTTAATGATTTAAAATAAATATCAAGTCAATGATGTTAAGAATATTGGAATTGATTACTGTTGTGACTCAGCAGAAGTCTCCTGTGAGTTTTTTCGGGATGCAAAATTAACAATGCAGCTGGGGCTCGTTAGTGGCGTCTTTTGGTGATAAAAGGACAGATGGTGCCACGCCCTGGTTGCAGGAGTCAACCTTCATTCATTCGTTCATCATTGACTTGATATTTATTTTAAATCA